CGTCACCGCCACTATCATCATCACAGCAGACCTCACACGTACAGCAATGCGAATTGCAATCTGTTGAACATGCCAAGGTGAGCAAGAACGGCAAGTTTGGGCAGCCTCGTGCGTACTCTCGCCGCCAGCATGCGCGCATATATGCAGGCAGAAGGTGCAGACAAGAAAGATGTCAGCAATGCCTCGTTTGCCTTCGTGCCTTGACAAGCCCATTCACAACTAAAAGCACCAACGCAAATCGACCATCCGATGGCAACCGTGAACCACAAGGTGTCTCTGTACTGAACCTAGACCAACAGCAAAAAATCAGAATCTTAGCTGTTTCTTAGGGTTTATAGGAACCAAACATAAAATAACATGTACATAATGCTATGTATATATATATATATACTTTCGCTAAGTATCCCCAAGGTCTCGTCTTTCGGCATCCCTGCCAAGCCCGGCACTCGCAAATGAATGCCGAGGCTAGCTTAACCTTCTCCTGGCGTCAGGGGACTCTCTGGATCTGAGGTTTAGGGTTTAGGGTTTAGGAGTACTTGGAGGATCATGGGACATAGTAGTTCCGTTTAAGGGTACTAGAAGGCTCTATAATAGGGCTCCGTAAAGGGATCCTCAAAGGGATCTATACGGGTTCGATAATGGAGGATCATGTTTGTAGTAAGTAAGGTTATAAGTACCTTAGTTCGGGTTATAAGTACAGTAGTATAATAGTATAGTCACTTTAAATAACAGCCCTGGTAGCTCAGTCCCATGATCGGCCAAGTAGGGAAGAGGGGTATAATGGGCTATAAGTTATAAGTTAATATAGGGGCCTTTTTATAACTAGAATAGGGTCTTAAGAATTAGAATAAGGTTTTTGGGCCCATTATACCGTAATTATAATGAGGAACCCCCAAAATGGTATTATTGGTAATTATTCAGGCCCCTATAGTACAGGGACTACTATGAGGCATCGTGAGGGGCTATAACTGGGAGCGGATGTCGCGTGCAGTCTGGGTTGAATTGTTCCACATCTACCTCCGACACCTGCCCACAATGGCAACGGCAAAGAGATTGAAACGATCCAGGCCGTGGGCTGCTCGGTCTACCCGACATGTGGATAATGCATACCCAGGTGTGGGTTACAAGTAGTTAGCTGCGTTGAAACTTGGGATAGGCTGATTGAGAATACATACTTTAGGGGCCTCAATCATTAAAATAGGGTTTTGGTGCTCATTATACCATATTTATCATCAGGAATTCCCAAAATAGTATAGGCAATTATTGGGGCCCCTAGAGTAAGGAGGATGCTTGCCCGTGAAGCATTCGGGGCTTTGCAGGGGGAAAAAGGATAAACATCGACCTTCACAATTAGAATAGGGTCTCGGGGCACATTACAGTAAGACCTATTTATTCAGGGACCCTCCGGAATAGTACTACTATTCTCCGGGCGTCTGTACTATGTGTTTTTCAATGTGGCCATTTAGATTTGACAGACGAACGACAGCGAATGTGACTCCACATTAGCAGCCTTCCGCTCGCCGAAGCCCTCGTAGTTGTGAACGTACTCCACGAACCTCGCTGGGAGCAGCTGGGATCGCAGGGTTCAGGGTTTACGGTGTAGGGTTTAGGGCTCTTGTGCTGCGTGCAGAGTCCAGCTTGCTGGCAACTCTGGGCTTAAGAGCTGCGGTTTACGGCACAGACCTGAATGCATGTACATATGTACTCGAGGATTAGGATGTAGCGCGTGGAGGCCTAAATTTCCAGCTGTGTTGTTGAAATCTCGAGGCCCATCAAACCTCCTCCGAAACTCCCAACCGACAAACCAGACGAGCTAAGCCCTGAACCCCTGAACCCTGAACACTAAACCTTGAACCCTGAACCCTGAATTCTGAACCCTGACCTCTGAACCCTGAACCCTGAAACCCTGAACTCTAAACCCCAAGTCGTCTGGGCCGGGCACCAATCTCTGTGATGAAAGGGCGTCGGCCTCCGACGCGGGGCTTTTGACACGGAGTCCGATTTGGGGTCCGAAGTGAACATACTGAGTTCCAACATCCTACACAGAGCCTCCAAAACCCCTGGATTCAGGAATATACTTCAAATCTAATTAGGGTTCCTGTTGGAATTTCCGCAATAGTTCTTGATTAAGGGGTTTGGGAGGCTCTGGGTGCATCCTCAAATCCAAAGTGTATCGAACCAGCCCTGTAAAGCACTTCAAATCCCAAAGCCCTGAGCACTAAACCCCTTAAACCTGTAGCTTAAAGCCTATACCCCAAACCCGAGCCCTAAAACGCTAAACCTTGAACCTGAACCCTAAACCCTTAAACCTGAACCGCAAAACCTAAACTGGCTTTGGCCTCGTCAACGAGACTTGTACGAGCAATTCATGCAGGAGGATACTAACCCCATAATATAGGGGCCTTAATAACTAGAATATTGTTCCTTGAAAGGCGTCTAGACGGACTACTACAAGAGGTCTGTACGGGCACTATAATATAGAGCCCTTAATAATTGGAATGAAGTTTGGGGGCATAATTTTGTAGTTGTACTACGGAACCCCAAAACAGTATTGGTAAATATTGAGGCCCCTACATTGCTGCATTATACTCATTATACCATTTCCACCCTACACAAAAGGGTCCGGCACCAAAAAGGTAAGTCGCGAAAGCCACGCTCAAGCCTGCACCCCGAAACCCAAACCAAACTGTGACGAAACTCGTCAATGAGCATCCCGAGGCAGTGAACTCGAGAGATGTCTTAATTTCTTTGAGGGCCTTAATAATTAGAATAGGGTTTTCGGGCCCATTATACTATAATTGTAATAAGGAACTACTAAAACAGCCAGGCACTTGTTAAGGCCACTGTATTACGCTCCCTTCTACCGTCTTCCTTCGCTCAGCCCTTCGTCAAGAGCCTGTGCATTCTGTACTCCACCGCCCTCAGCAACCGCAGTTCTGCAGCTTCCTGGCTAGAGACCAATTCGGCGGGTCAAGCTACCCTACTCCGAACAGATGATCCTGAGTGCAAAAGTTAAGAGCCGAGTTCCCTAGCACGGCTCTACCCGCGCAACCCAGCGAAGCCTTCGGGTTCAACCCGGTCTTGAGAAGTTATGCCTTCTAGACTTCTTTGTTTGGGGTCTTGGGAGAGACAGAGAGCTGTGCGCTGCAGTGCTTGGAGGCAGGCGCCTTCCAGAACTTCGGATGCTAAGCTGACTACTAAGCCCAGGCCAGTCAAGCAATGAACGCTTCTTCCTCTCCTCGTTTTCGCTTCTCTCTCTCTCTCTCTCTCTCTCTCTCTCTCTCTGTGTCTATATATATATATATATATATATTTATGTATATATATATATATATATATGACTTTTATGTGTATATATATATATATGTATATGTATCTCTCTCTCTCTCTCTCTCTCTCGCTCTCTTTGGTCTTTCTCTGACCTTCGGTTCTTGAGCAAGCCTTGGTTTATACATTGCAAATCTACACCGTCACCCGGAGGCACGAGGCTCGAAGGCCACCCCATACTCTCCGGGGACCCTCCCCTCTGTCTCTCGATTTATGATTTAGGGTTTAGGGTGTAGGCTTTAGGATTTAGGGTTTAGGGTTTTGGGTTTAGAAACGCCAGAAATATATCTCTCCCTCTCCCCTTGAAGCGAAGACCAAAGCCCGATCAACTCGCCAGCTCCACGAACTCGGCCTGTGTGGCGTACTCCCCTGCCGCCTGGCCCAAATGGGTGGTTCTCAAAATTAGGGCCCCCTTTTGGGTCCTTATCATAATACGGCACGTAATATTTAGGGTACCCAAAAAGGGGCCATAATTTTGACAACTACTCAAATGCCAGGCTCAGGCTTTGATCTGAGACCGGCCGTTGGTCTTTGGTGTCGAGGGGTTGGGGTGTTAAAGGTATGGAGAAAGCGCCTACGGCCTAGGGGTTCTAGCTTCATGAACTCATCGGGCTTTGGATTGGAAGGTTTGCCTTCCTGAGCCAAAACTTCCTTGACCAGATTACTGCATGCATGGAGTTAGAGGTGCCTTGTCTCGATAGGTCCCTCGAAGCCACCACTCTCAGGTTATCTGGTGCAGCACCGAAACGCGAGAGCGCCTGGAACCAGATTTAGGGCACCTGTAGCTTCCTCCCCTCAGCCCCCCGCCCCCCCGGTTCGACACGGCACCTCGATCAATGCCCTGCCCGTCAGATCCGGCGCCAGCACCTCCTGTGCGCAGCAACCGGCACTCAGGCTTTGCTTTGCTGCGAGGCTCTTTAGGTGGTTTCAACATGCCTCCCTTGGAGCGCGTGGCTGAAGGCTTTGCATGGCTTTTCCACAAAGGGTTTTGTAGCAACGTGCGCGAGGCGGCCGGGGTTGGGGACTCCATCCTGTCGCCCTGCTAGGCTTTCAGTATCTTTCAGTTTCACTTCCACAGAATCCGAGGCTTCAGTCGCCCGTTGACGGAGAAAGCCTAAACTTCAAACGTGTGGTTGATTTTTGTTGAGGACTGCTGCGCGATCGAAATCCGAATTGTAGGGCATACATGGACCCCAAATAAACTACTGTACCTTTTAAGGACTCATATAAGGAAATCAGAATGAGGAGCCCTAAAACTGCAGGTTCCTTAGGGTCCAGGTACGCTCTTCAAAGCCCGAACCCCTGGGACGAGGGACGTCCGGGTTTCACCCCAAGGGTCCATGTACCCAAATCGTATATACTATGTCCTCCCTATATTAACATAGGTACATTGGGCCCAAAGCATATACTACTTGGATACCTGGACCCAAATAGAATCAGTGAGCGAGAGGGAGGCGCTGAGCTTCGCAAAACCCCGCAAGGGCGCGCTGTTCCAAATGCACACGAGCCGTGGAGCCTTGGATCCCGAACCTGACAGAATGCCCCCACCGGCTCTGAACGTTTCACGCGTGGTAGGAGTGAAGGTGGAGAAGGCAGGGAAGTTGGAGGGCCCGTAGGGCATGGGGAATGCTGGTTAGAGCGCTGACTGCCATCCAAACGGGGGCTAGCACCACCTAGCATTTTTTCAAGCTTGAATCAAGGAAGGCAGCCAGACCGCTCTCCACGCAGACGGCAGCAAAACAGATCCTCGAAAAGGGGCATCCCAGAGCGACCCTCGGGTGTCCGTGGCACTTCCGGTCTTTGGGGTCCTCGGTGCTCCGCCTTCTCTTCTTTGGGAAGGCATAATTAGCAATATCGGAGGGACGAAGGGGAGAGTTCTTCGGCAACAGCTCTAGCACCTGATGCAGGTTGCACTGCGCTCCATCCGGGGAAATAAACTCCACATCCTCGAAGCCATCCACAGAACCCGCTCCGCTGTGCCACCGTAGCTCGGTGGAGCTCGTCACGGGTGGACGTGCCGTAGGGCAAGACTCTGCAGAGTTCAAGCCTTCTTCTTGGCGCTCGTTGTGGTGAGCGTTCTTGGCCCGGAAGACGGCCTGCGCGTGGTTGAGATCGATCTGCTCCACGATCTCTCGCAAGCGCGCCTTGTCGAAGACACCTGGCATCTCAGTCCAGCGCCCGGCCCGGAAGGGAACAGCTCTCCGCCAAGGATTTTCTTCGCGGCCTGCATGGTATTGCAGAACACATGCACATCACGAGGCAACTAAAAAAAGAAATCAGGCAAGAGATTCTGTCACAAAGACATCAAAGAAGATACGAAGAGACCTCCGGGCCCATCCAACAGGGTTTGCAAGGCATCGCAGAGTACCCGCGAGACGGTCCAGTCATAGCTCGGCACCGCCACCGTCAAATGCAGAGAGGCCTCGTTCTGCGTGGTTGCCTCGTGCACGAAGCCACGAGGCACGTAGAGGACATCCCCCACCTCACCACCAGCTCTTAGGATCTCATCTCTTTGAGTTTACAGAAGAAGTGGCCCCCTTAAAACAAGACCCTTTTAAAAAAAAGAGGTGGATCCTCTCCGAAAAGCCCAGGAAGCCTTCAAGGTCTGCTGAAAATCCGGCTTCGAGTCTAAGAGCTCGGCAGGGACCTCGAGGCCGTTCTTGCCCACCTGCTCGCTCGGGTAGGGCATGTAGATGGGAGCCTCGCCGTAGATCTTCCAGTGCTTGGTGCCTTCCACAAGCTGACACAACACGAAACCCCGAAACCGAGGCCTGTTATGAGCCCAAAACCTCTTGAACCTCTCTCCCTCCTCTTGCAAACCATGCCTTCGAGTTGGAAGACGATGACATCCCGGTCGTCTGCGTGTGGCGGGGCTGCTTGCGACCGTTGCGGGGTCACGTAGCAGTTTGCGTACAGGGAGGGGAACTCGTGCAAGGCTCGGCACAGCTCGAAGACAGGCCTCCAAACCTTGTCCACCTTAGTTGAGGTTCCCATGCTGGAACCTTTGATAGTGTGTATATACGTATATAGCGAGAGACAGAGTATCGGAAACGATGTGCATTCCTGGTTTACAAAAACACTTGCTAACTTAAATATCATGCTCACTGAAAGCAGATTTCTGAACAAAAACCAAGCCACGTGGTTCACGATGATTGAAGCACCGTCCAGATAGGCGGCAGTAGGAGACGAGTACTCCTCGAAGGTTTGCGGTTTAGGGTTCAGGGATTCGGGCTTACCGCCTAGGTGTTAGAGTTTAGGGTTTAGTGGTGCTCCTCGGAGGGCTTCAAGCCTTTGTAGATCACCAGCTCTGTCTCTTCGGGGCACCCTGGCGCCAAGGCTCGCAGGAGCACCTCATCGAGAACCTAACAAAGCTGCGGTGCTTCTCGGACTAAACCTCTGAAATCGCTGTCTTCGCTCCCTTCACAGTACGAGTCACCAAACGTTTTCAGGACATGCCGATTGTCGAACTGGAGACAGAAAGACAGTGTGTAGTGAACTACAGTATATTTGACCGCATACTATAGTATACTATAGTGATTATATTGTTGCATATTATAGAAAGATCATATCACATCGGACTATAGACGCTTTTTCCGATGAGCCTCCCAGCTCAGAGGCGCAAAGCGGGACTCCCGGGCTCCCTGGAAAACCCGCGGCTTCCGCTCCCAGACATCGCGGAAGAAAGCATCGACGGTGAGTGGTCGGATGAGCTGCGCGAACATGGCGAAGGGAAGAGATTGAGGGGTTAGGGTTTAAGGTTTAGGGTTTGGGGTTTAGGGGTTAAGGTTTAGGGTGTAAGGTTTAAGGCTTGGGGTGTAGGGTTTGGGGTTTGGGGTTTAGGGTTTAGGATTCAGGGTTTAAGGTTCAGGGCTTAAGGTGTGAGGTGTAGGGTTTGAGCTATGGGGTTTAGGGTAGGACCGGGTAGGAGGTTAGAGTTTCTTGTGGTATGTCGGTTGGAGCATCTGGGGGGGAGGGGGGCGGGGTTTGGATGGGGTAGCATGGATGTGGAACACCAGGGCATCATGTTTAGATCATTAGATCCTTCAGAGGCTCCATCAAGAGATGCCAGCGGAGAGTTTCAGCAAGGCGTACAGGAGCGAGCCCGGCCGCATGTCCTCGAACTTCGCAGCTACCAGCAAGGCGACTGGGGCCAAAAGAAACGGCCTCAGATGTCCGAGATCCGATCATTAAGAACTCCGGCGCCAAGGCACAGAGAGCAAAATGCCGAGAGCTGTGCCGTATGCAAGGCAGCCGAAGCATGAGGCACTCGTCGATCAAAGACACAGCCTGAGCGCTCATCAAACCTCGATCCTGTCTTGCACAGCTGAAGAGTTGGAAAATGCATTTTTTTCTGCAAGCCTGCGTCAAGCCAGGTGTAGTAGTTGGTCCGAGCCCCAAACCATCCCGAAACCCAAAGCCTAAACTTCCTAAACTTCTCGCTCCCCCCAAGAAGCAATGAGAGCTTCCAAAGAGGTATCTCTCCTCCTAACGGCAAAGAAGCCCAACTTTCGGCGCCGGACCAAGTAGAGACTTTCCGGCTTCATGTCGAACTTGAGATGAAGGCGCCTGAAGCTTGTGCACTGGAGTTTCGTGGCTTCCGCTTGTCAGACTGTGCTTTGATTATGCCGTAAGTTCTGGTGGAGTAGATCGATATTTGGCGGTAGTGCTGGTGGTAGTAGTAGCAGTAGTCGTCGAAGTAGTAGTAAGCAGAAGCAGCAGCGGTAGCATTAGCAGTAGCAGGAGCAATAGCAGCAGCAGCAGTAGGAGGAGGAGTAGAAGCAGTAGTAGTAGTCGTCGTAGTAGGAATAGGAATAGGAATAGGGATAGGAATAGGAATAGGAATAGGAATTGGAATTGGAATAGGAATAGGAATAGGAATAGGAATAGGAATAGTCATAGCAATAGCAATAGCAGTAGTAGCAGCAGTAGTAGCAACACAATCATAAATCGATCACGCTCTTGACATGTCGTTCCCCTGCACTAAGGCCCGGGCACTATCCGGTCCAGCATGGCCTTGCGCATTTGATCCTCCCGCCAACATGCAGAGGCTTCTACCAAACCGAAAATCGCTGAAATGTGTGTGCATCCCGAAAGTTTTCTTGCTGGAGCCAGCACAGAGATTTTCATGATAAGCTTGTTGGGTATTAGGGGGTAAGGCCTGCTTCTTCACACGCCAACCTAGCAAATGGATTCCTGCAGATGGTCCTGATCTACTCTGCTTCGTTCTGGGCATGGGAAGCCTGGGCCTATCCAACCGCAGCATCGAGGAAAACTCAGCCATCCGGGGAAACTGATGTGTGAGCGTAGCCGCTACATTGCCTCAAACGGATCGCTTTGTTAGAGAATCTCTCTTAACAGGCTTCGAAGCCGAAGTATCAAACCGAAGCACCAAAAAGCCGGACCCCTGAAACCCCGCAGCCCATAGACCTGACATTTCTCAGAAAGCTTGTACAAGCATACCACAAATTTAGAACTCTCAGCCCTAAGCCCTAAAGCCTAAAGCTGGTCCTGGTCATTCGGAATGACCGGAGCATAATCGAAGTGTGCCGGCTGCTTCAGGATCCTGTCCTCCCCATTGCCTGGGGCTGCACTCTGATCTTCATGTACGGTCACTACTCCACCTATTACCACCACCGCCACTACTACTCCTGCTGCTGCTGCTGCTACTGCTACTGCTACTACTACTACTACTACTACTACTACTACTACTACTACTACTACTACTACTACTACTACTGCATCGGGAGAACAGAAGTTTTCTTTACCTACTAGATCTGTCTTGTCTTAAGACGTCTTGCGGAGTAGCGGAGTACCCGGAAGCCAGCGGAGTATGTTGTAACCCTTTTTGAAATTATACTACTTTAATGTTCCGGAGGAGTAGCCGGTTGGTCCGGTTTGTTAGGATTCTTTGGGGGAATGGGGGCCCATGTTCGGCGAAACGAGGAGCAGGTCAAACTTTCGTCCTACCACAGTACTCCTACTCCTACTCCTAAGCCTACTCCTACTCCTAAGCCTACTCCTACTCCTCCTGCTCGTGCTCCTCCCCCTCGTCCTTCCTGCTGCTGCTGCTGCTGCTGCTGCTGCTCCTGTTGCTGCTACGCTTTCTGCCACAAGCGAACTATACAGCAAACAATAACACGCTCTCGGTGGTAGGGTAGGAATCAGGGCCATTACAGATGGGTCCGTGCTCACTGATGCCGGACTACAGCTGCTTCTCTCGGCTTGTCAACCTGAACCTAACTAGGGCACACTGAGCTTCGAACAAAGGTTACTGAAGTGCTCCCCGAAGAAGAGCGAGTAGTCCTTCTGCTGCAATGCCCGAACACGCACAAGATCACTCTCATGATGCGGGGCCGTCTGATGCGAACTCTCAACCTGGTGACATCGGGGCCGCATCAGCGGACTTCGGTCCTTCCCGCTTCTCTGAGCTGCGATGCTTCCCTCTCTTGCTATTCAATTCCAGTCCCGTCGAACATCTAGTTATAATTATAGCCCTGGGTACTGCTCCCACATCGAAACACTCTATACTAGAGCTACGACTAAGGACCTTATATCTCTATCTATACTATAAAAATTTCAGACCGAAGCTTTTCAGCTGTCTTCTGCTACGCTGAGCCCCAGCAGCTCCTCCTCTCCCTGGTGGGCGCCTGCGAGCCACACCAACCCACGGCAACAACTAATGTAGGGGTCGGAATGATGAGTAATGCTATTCCCTTATAGCCCCCCCCCATCGAAATACTACAAGATCCCCCAAAACCCAAACCCTACTCTCATTATTTGAACCTCCAAAACCGAAACCTTAATCTCATTATGTAGGCAGCTATATTATGTCATGGGCTACACACCTAGCAACTTCGGTTTCCGGAGCCGAGTAGAAGGAGCTACTGCGCTGCCCAGAGAAGTTCTTGGATGATGGCCGACTTGGATGATGGCCGAAACAACAGGGTGGTTGTCAATCTTATAGTCTTTATTGGGTCCATAATATAGTACGGCACCGAATATTTAGGGTGCCCAAAAAGGAACCGCAGTTTTGACAACCACCCAACAGCATCCATGATGGTACTACCTGTGGCTACGACACCGGACCATCATGATGCCAGTGCGCGATAACAACCAAAACGACAACACTACCATGAAACACACCAGTATCATCATCATAAATCCTAAACCGTCTTCAGCGACTAACGAACTGCCACCAAGAAGCCGCAGGAGGGCGACAAAGGAGGAAGCTTGCAGTTTCGATTCCTGCCAGCTTCGGGGTGCAGTCCCTTCCAACTGCCTAGCAGCTGTCAAGCTAAAACCGCAGTACCGGAATGATCAAAAGACGCACAAGGGGCAAAACCTTGAAGTGCCGCTGCGAGATGGGATGACACAGGAGTATCCAACCTAACACTCTTGCATCAACCCGAAAGAAGACTGCTTCGAGGATCATGGGACTTAGTTTCTAGAGCTATTACTCAAGTAACCATGTTTATATTTACATATAACCCCAATTAAGGTACTTCTACCCATACTTAAAAAAGTCCCATGATCCTCCAAGTGCCCACGGCCGCCTGACGAAGATGACGCTCCGACCCGAGGAGCGCACCTTCGGACGACAAGGAATGACCCACGCCCTCCAACGCCTACCGTAATGTCGGAGCCCTGATAGAAAGAACGGGGTTTTGGGGTTCCGTTTTATGAGTATAGCATATAGTATAGTCTACCCCCAAACCCTATTCTTCTTATTAGGCCCCTATATTATAGTACCCTTATAGTAACCTTATAGGCCCCTTTGAAGGAACCCTACTCTACTTATTAGGGCCCCTATATCACTCAAGGGCAAATTGCACCGGCCTCCAGACTCACTGAGCGTGGACTCGGAGTATGAGGCGAATCTCAGCAGGAATTTGGGCTCACTTTGATTGTTTAGCAGCCGATCAGGGTCAACCGGTTTAGGGTTTAAGGTTTAGGGTTCAGGGTTTAGGGTTTGGGGCTTAAGGTACATGACATCATACGATTTGGCAACATTATGTGGTGATGCTAGATTTCGACACATGCAAGCATGCAAGGATGGATGCATGCTGCCGGCGCGTAAACGTGTACAATGCGATCGTGACATGCTCTGGGATCATTGAGATCCTGGCCTGAGTCCGTCAGGAAGTGACGCTTGCCTTCCTCATGCAGAGAGCAAAATGCGCTTCAAACGCAGCTGGTGTTGCTGAATCTTGCCCACCACCCTCAACTCAAAGCGAAATTTTGCTTGTTTATTAGCATTATTATTGTGATGTTGAAGTTTATTGTTGTTATCTTTATTAATATCACCAGAGCTGAGAATATCGCGTTGTGCACAGCCTTGGCGGGCACACAGCCGTTTCAGCTCTCCGGCAGGTCGAGGCGAGCAAGATACATATACATACATATATATATATATATATATATACATAGTTTGAGGTCCACGCGGGCTTCAAGGACTCGAGAGGTAGGGACTTGGGTTACAGGTAACGGTCATGCGACGGAGACACTGTAGCCTGATAACAGTCCCAAGCTGCAAGAACAACAAGACGGTCAAAGCGTAGTAGTTGTCCTCTCTAAACTGATAGCAGGAGCAGGAGCAAGAGCAGGAGTTGCTGTTGCAGGTAGTAGTTACCAGGTAGTGTTAGTGCTAGCGGTAGAAGAAGCTGGACAAAACAACTTTCAAACATAACGATAACGCAAAGTTCTGGGGCCCTGGGCACGAGTGACATCAGCAAGATCCACCATCTGGACATCTTCCTCATCCTGCCAGAATGGAAGCAGTCGGCAGTCTGGCATTGGTCGGCCACCGCGTTTGCACCAAGCGATGACTTACGCTAGTCACGGATACAGAGTGCTTCGCACCAGTTGAGGGACTCCACAATGCTGCAAACGCGTCCGCAATGACCCGTTGAGGTGGCTGCCAGTCTGCATAAAGCTGGTGGAGCCACGCGCGATCGTTGTTTAGGCAATTCCGGCTGAACGCTGTCGACATAAAGGGGCTCCGTGAATCCGTTGGGTTCCAGCGGTAGTGACTGCATAAACGCAGTCCAGGCAACGGAAACACGCAAGCCATGTTGTGTTAACCACTGGAAAAGAATTCGAACTTGCGTGCAGCGCGGTCTGACCGCAATGCAAGCGGCACATGGATGGTAACAACTGCATGGGGATGGAGTACCTTCGCACGCATCTCCTACTAACTCGAAGTCCTGGTGGTGGTGGTGGTGGTGGTGGTGGTGGTGGTGGTGGTGGTGGTGGTGGTGGTGGTGGTGGTGGTGGTGGTGGTGGTGGTGGTGGTGGTGGCGGCGGCGGCAGCGACGGCGGTGGTGGTGGTGGTGACGGCGGTCGTGCGGATTTCTGCGATGCCCAGTATTGCTAGCTTTGTCGTCTGTATCGCGGTGGTAGTGGTAGAGGTCGTGGTCGTGGCAGTGGTCGTGCTGGTGGTAGCGGTAGTGGTAATGGTAGTAGTAGTAGTAGTAGTAGTAGTAGTAGTAGTAGTAGTAGTAGTAGTAGTAGTAGTAGTAGTAGCAGTAGCAGTAGCAGTAGTAGTAGTAGTAGTAGTAGTAGTAGTAGTAGTAGGAGTAGTAGTAGTAGTCGTCGTCGTAGTCGTAGTCGTAGTCGTAGTCGTAGTCGTAGTCGTAGTCGTAGTAGTAGTAGTAGTAGTAGTAGTAGTAGTAGTAGTAGTAGTAGTGGAAGCAGTAGTGGTAGCAGTGGTGGTAGTGGTAGTGGTAGTGGTCGTGGTCGTGGTCGTGGTCGTGGTCGTGGTCGTGGTCGTGGTCGTGGTCGTGGTCGTGGTCGTGGTCGTGGTCGTGGTCGTGGTAGTGGTGGTAGTGGTAGTGGTAGCGGTAGGGGTAGCGGTAGCGGTAGCGGTAGTGGTAGTAGTAAGTAGTAAGTAGTAGTATCTCTGGACGCAGCAGCGGCTTGTACAGACTCTTCGCATGGTAATCATGGTACCAACTCTACACGGCAACCCCGTCGCTCTCCCACCTGAAGTTGGCCGAAGCGCCTCTTCACGCCTGACGCACGGTTGGGTAGCACATCCTGCTCCGAAACACAGCGCTTTGAACCGCAAGCCGTCGCCTTCCGGATACTAAACCCGACCAACGGCAGATCCGTGATATAAGGGCAGTATATGATTAGAACAGGGTTTTGGGGTATGTTATACTCTAACTATAATAAGGAACCCCCACAATAGCATAGGTACTTATTCAGGCCACTATAGTACTCACCGCTGGCTCCTGTTTTCTTCCAAGCCTCGTGCGTTCTCATCTCAGCACTCAGACTGCATCAGAGCGAACAGTGAAATTCCTGAGAGAATACCTCGCAGGCATAACTCCTGATTAACCACAAGCAATGAAGTTCCTTGGACTAGCGTAGCAGTCGTAGTAGTCCCAAGCGCAAATCTTGCGACCTGTCTGCTGTTAAACGAACTAGCGACGTGCGTTTCCACGGAGCGGCAGCGCTGTCCATGGGCGTGATCTCTCCCCGCAAGTCATCGCCCATTCTATGCGCGACCTGGTCCGTGCTGTAGCGCGAAAGCAGGAAGGTAAGTTTTGTCACAGTAGCTTCGGTGGTCATGTCCCCGGCTGAAATAACCCCCTGTTTGGCGAGCTCCGCTCCGGCGGCATATTGGTTCATCTCCACACAGCCTTGTGGGCATTGGGAACAGACCACCACCAGAAGATCACGCTTCCGAGCCTCTGCGACAGCTGCGAGCACCGGAGCGTTTCCCGTGCCGTAGGTCTCTAGGACAAGTGCTCGCAAAGATTGCTTTCCCTCGACAATCATGGAGAGCACCCCAGCATCGAATCCCGGGACGAGCCGGATCACTAGTACATGGGCATCAGCCACAGGATGCACCTTCATGTACCCTCTTGGATTACTCACTACCAAATCCGTGCGAGCTCGCACGCTGGTGCCGACGATTGCCAAAGGTGGGAAATTGGGGGATCCGAAGGCATCCAGTCCATCTGCGGAATACTTGGTCGCACGGTTGGCCCGCAAGAGACGGTCGTTAAAAAAGATCATGACCTCGGGGAAGCTCTGTTGAGCAGCCGCAAACTGCATCGACAGGATCAGGTTTCGGCGGGCGTCATTGTAAGGTTCGGCCAACGGTATCATGGAGCCAGTGAATACCACAGGCTTCGCGAGATCTTCCAGCATGAAGCTCAATGCCGAACCGGCATATGCCATTGTGTCAGTGCCCGTTATCACCACAAAGCCATGATACTTCATGTAGTTCCGCTCCAGCGTCCTGGCAATCTTTGTCCAGTCTGAGGGCCCCATTGCTGAAGAATCGATCAAAGGCTCCAGTTCCCGTACCTCGTACTGTGGCATGGCAGGGTCCTGTAGCTCCTGCATGCCTTGCAAGAAATTTTCGAGGAAACCTGGCGCTGGGGCCAATTGCATCCCCCGTTGGCCCGCTGACGGCTGAAGTGGCTTCATTCCAAATGTACCACCTGTATTAATGATCAACACTTTCGCTTTTTCTGCTTCGCCTGCTAAAGACAGGTGGGCAGGCTGAGCTTCCACCCGCCACAGTGCATCTGATACAGAGAGTCGTTGACCTTGCCATGCTGCCAATCCCAGCAGCCCGCCGAACACTGCATGCGGCCAGGAGAACCGGCTTGCCATCTTAGCTACTCGTTTGAAGCTCGGGTTACTGTATTACTATATTACTATATTAGGGTGTATGGGAGGCTGTGGACTCACAGGCTTTGCTCGAATCCAGCTGGCAAGCGCAACAGGCACAGAACCGCTTCCACGCGCCCGGCCGGGCTGCCTCGTTTCAGTATACTGTTGTTTATTCTATCAACATTCGGAGGCTGTGGTATGATTTGTCTGCTTTAAACTGATTGAAGCACATCCCACATCCCCGATATCGCCTAGTATACCGTATGCCTGTTAGTCTGTACATGCCAGTTTTATAGACTGCTGTTAATGATCCCGGTATCGAATCGGAACTGCTAGCAGGCGGACTCGGACTTAACGAGATGTGTCCTGGACCCCTGGGCCCTAGGTACACTTCCTCTGGGTTTAGGGTCATTAAGTGCGCCTGTTCAGGAGCAGTGGCTTTAAGGCGAGCCGCGCTCCCCTGGAACGAATGAGCGAGACTATAACAAGGCTCAACCACGGCAATCCCGGCCACTTCCATCCAGAAGCCTCCCGATGCTTCCGTAGTTATCCGGCCTTGCCGCAGGACTGCAGCACATCTAGTAGCCCGCCGCCCACAGCGAAGCGTATCCTCGAGACCGGGAGTTCCGGCGGGGCGTCGGCATCGGGGCTCCGGTTCAAGTCCCGGGCTTCGGCTTCTGGGTCACTGTATTGCTATATTACTATATTACTATATTACTATATTACTATATTACTATATTACTATATTACCATATTACTATATTACTATATTACCATATTACTATATTACTATATTACCATATTACTAGCCTTCCGTGCGTCTTCAACTGACATGGACGAGACTGACAGCGGCATCTGGGCCCCTTCTCTCATCGCAAGAGGGTAAAGAAGCCTCCAAGCCTGAGTAACACCAAGATACATCACCCAAAGCCCCAATGTCCAAAATTCTTTCTGGGCTCAAGGCCACAAGCTCCATCCCAACCTCCTTGAAATAACACTGCCCTGCCGTTTCCGGGAAGCCCGCCACGAAGCTGCGTGAGATCACGGTACGTGGCTTTTTTGCCTTCCTGGGTTCAGGCTCGTGGTAACTCACTCACGCAAGAACCTCCAGGAGCCAGCCGGCGCCGCCGAGTTCTTTCGTTACGGAGTTTAGGGATGCTTGCGGTTTCTTAGGGCTTGAGGATGTCGGGCCAAACATGTGTCGCATCAATCTGAAGGGTTGTTAGGCAGAAGAAACGGTGCATGGATACCAGCTGTCTACCCTGGTATAGCCTGGGATCTTTAGCATGCCTCACATGATCAGCCACTCTGCTGCCACAAATCACAAGCCGCTGGGAATCTGGCAAAGGCTTCTGCGAACTGCAACTGCTGCTGGACCCCTGCGAAAGGAGGGTGCTTCCTCTAGGCTCTAGTTCGTCTCGCAGACGTTCCAATCGCACACCAGTTAGGGCGCATTCCTCATCACAGGCTGATCCCTGCAGATGCTGCGATTGAATGTCCAAGAAACAAGCCTCACAAAAACCAGACCACTCGGCCCGCCACCAAACAAAACCCGCCTTCCTCCCATCGAAGTGCGTCTTCAGCAGTTCCTTCTTCGACCTGCTTCCTGGAACTAACATTTGGAGCGGAAGACGAGGGGAGCCCCAAGGCGAAGAAGATGTAGGACAAACGAAACAGTCATATAGTAATAGTAATATAGCAATAGTAATATAGTAACATAGTAATACAGTAGTATAGTAACATAATGATATATAGTTACAGTAATATAGCAATATGGTATAGAATATAGCAATACAGCAATACAGTACTATAGTGATATAGTACTAAAGTAATGTTAAAATATAGGGACAGACGAAGAAGGAATGTAAAATCTTTCTGCGTTGCACAAGGGTCTTGGAGTAAGTTAGACTAGAAATGGATGGGTAAATGTTCAACCCTGATACTGCTCCCCTACAAGGGCACATGCCTCATCGCACATGCTCAGCGCTGCTGGTTGCGCACACATTAACAGACATCAGATACCATTAAACGTTGATGCGGAAACCTGGAGAACGGAAGTGGACCGATGTATAGACAACAGGCAAGGATACGGAACAAGCACGGAAAGAGAGAGAGAGAGAGAGAGAGAGAGTATACTAAGAAAGACAACAGACACACAGAAAGAACGAGAAGGAGACAGATAACGAGACAAAGCGAGAGGCACAGCCCCTAAACCCCGAAACCCTAAACCCTGAACCCCCAAACCCCTAAACCCCTCAAAAACCCCAAACTCTGAATTTCGAGAGGCAACGTAACAACAGAAAGGACAGACTTGGCTCCTTGGACCCCTTCTCGGGCACGTCCGTGTCCATGAGGTCTTGGCGGCCTGGGCCTCAGGGTTTGGGTTGAGGGCTTTTAGGGTTTTAGGGTTCAGGGTTTCGGGCTTTTAGGGTTTAAGGATTCAGGGTTGATGATTTGGGGGTTTAGGGTTCCGGGTTTAGTATTTAGGGTCTAGGGTTTAGGGGCTTAGGGTTTAGGACTTACGGTGCTGCCGTGAGATCCGTATGCAGGGTGCTTTTAAGGCCTGATGGATTTCTTCCAAGGGTAAAGGGAGGGACCCTTAATAAGGACCCCCAGGTATATACCCTTAATATCGGCATCGTATACCCATTATATATCCCATTATCGGGTAGGGGTGCCCATTAAGGGTCCCTCCTTCTCCCCTTTGATTTCTTTTGTGCCCGGTACCGAGAGCCTGGCATGGCTCTGGGAGCGGCAACAGCTGCGGCTCAGGGAGCGGCAGCACTCAACCCAGGGCTTCTGTGGCTACTCGCAACTAGGGTAACTACTGTTGATGGTATAAATCCTGCATTACCTTAAGGACCGCAAAATAGGGGAATTATGGTATATTCCTCATTGTGGGTAATGCAGGATTTATATCATCAACCGTAGGTGCTGGCCGTGCAAGGAAGGTCCATGCAGTGTCACGCTAGATGTTGAGAGGAGCGCAGGTGGGCGGTCTGAGATCTTCAGATCAGTCAGCTTGCAGCAAGTCAGATACCTCAAGGATTTTGTTACTGCCTCCAGCAACTTCAAGACTGACCCGAGCCTCCCACTCATGCTGTCCCTTATGCGAGCCACAGGCTGTAAGCCGAAAACAAGACAGAGATCTTGGACACCAGAGGGACTATGAGGTGTCTCAGACAAGTAATCCTGCACTGGCCCATCTCTTGCATTCCGCGTCGGACAGGGTTGGGTTGTTGCAAAAGCGCTCAGTGGAAGGACCTGGGCGCAGAGCCGGGAAGTTCCACCATGTGCTATCCTATGTGCTGCTTCCACATCAGATATCCATAGCCCTCACCCTCAGTGTAGCTGGGCACGACATGCGATTAGAGAGGAGTCTGTTCGAGCACCTAATACTACAACAACAAGTCACGGGAATCACTTTATGTACGAAGTTGAGTCGGCTTCGGTAGATTGTTGGTAGATGGGCCGGTGAGCAGTGGCCAGCGGGTGGCTTCCCACCGTGCCCACCACGAAGATACTCAGCACTATACCCGGGAACATCTTAGTCCTTCTTGCCCACCACCTGCCTGCCTGCCTACCCAGACCTACCCGGACCGAGTACCTGCCTGCCTCCCTCGCTGCCTGCCTGCCTGCTTACCTACCTGCCGACAAGCTTGCCGACCAAACCTATCTCAGACCATTCCCCCTGCAGGTAGTCAGAGACAGACAGAAAGACTCTCAAGAAGGCGAGAAAGCAGGTAGAAAGACACACGGGCACACATGGCTGCATATATACATCCATCCATGCATACATAAAAACACAAAGGCGAATAGAGGCAGAGAGAGCCAGAGACAGACCTTGTGCCCTGGTGAGTTGGCATCGTGAACTCGAAGTTGCGAGAGATCACACTGCATGTTATGATGTGAGATGGGTCGAGCTCAGGCAGAACTGAAAGACCTGAGCGAAAAGAGCTACGCTTTATCCACAGATGCTTCGTCCAGGAGTTGGTCCTGTGTGCACAATTCTATGTAATGCACCACAGTGCACAACCCTGAACCCACAGCTTGCAGAGCTGCCCAGCTTACTACATCAAATCCTGTCGTGCAAAATACGACATTCTGAACGGAAGAGTCCTCCGGCACGTGAACTACGGGTCAGTCTTCCTGTAGTAAGAGCTAGACGGACAGTCTTGCTTGACGCAAGCCTTCGTTGTGCCAGCATTCATCATGGTCTGTACTACTATGTTGGCATTAGTCATCGCCCCCCATCATCCCCATTCACCATCACCATCACAATCGTCAATGCCTCAACTCAGTTCACAGTGCCTGCAGTGATAATTTTTCTTGTTACCGGGAAGTACAGCACCAAGTCAGAAAGGTGGCATTGGTCCTAGCCCTCCACTTTAACAGCACCTTCGACAGGCAACCCCAATCGGACTGTGCAGAAAACCGGACCAAGTGTCGCTTGATTACGCCTGAAAGAAGTGACAATCATCGTAATATACATTTGTCACTGCCAGCACTTAACGACGCTGAGCCCACGGCTTCAGCTTGTCCGTCTGCACCGGCGCCTCGTCCTCAGCAGGGGGCGGTTCAAACTCAACCGCTCTTTATATCTCGAGCTCCGGGACTAGAAACCTTCAACCCTCAACCCTCAACCCTAAACCCTAGGTTCAGGGGTTTAGCGTTTACTGCTTATCAAGGTTCAGGATTCCTGCAGCTGTCCTCATGAAGGTGTGCCAGGGGGTTCTCCGAGCGGTAGTGGTGCGCATCGTTGTAGGCGTCGATCGACTGGCAGAGTTGGACCCAGGGCTGCTTCAGGGGTTTCGGGCTTGGGGTTTAGGAGTTTAGGGTTTAGGGTTTAGGGCGCAAATTTCGTCTTGAAAAATGGCAAGATGCGCGGGCAGAGAGGTGGGATCCACGGCCTGCGTTTCAAGACGTGCAATCGTGTCGAACTCCTTGATGGTGGCAGCACCTGGGGCTCAGGAAAAAGTAGAAGTATGACATTGCAAGGCATGGTTGCAAAGATTGGACGTACATCACAAGGAGCCCTTAACGAAATGTAATACAGGGCCCGTGGATAATTAGAATAGGGTTCTGGGGCCCAGTATAGAAGAAGGAACCCCAAAATAGTATTGGTAACTACTGAGGCCCCTATATTATTCTGCTTTTGAATGATAAGAAGAGCGGCCTGAGCAATGACAAGACACAAACGTTGGAGCCGTCTACGCCCGTATGACCACCTTCGCAAAATTATAGAATGAGCCCCATGTACAACTGGGGAGATGGGGGGTACTGCACCAAACTGCTTGTCGGGTCGTGAAAGCTTGGGTTTCGCCATAATAATTCCCTCATGGCAGTATAGCCCCTATAAACTTATCGCATAAACCGCCCCAAAACGCCGTTCAAATTATGAAGGCCTCCACATTACACCCTCTGGAACCTCGAATCTGAAGAAAGCTGCCGTAAAGATCTCAGATTCTGGCGCAGCCGTGTCAGAGCGCGGAACACAGCCCGCTTGATCTCAGCCACTTCGGCCGTCTCGACGGCATCAACCAACGTGTCCTGCAGGGTCCGGTTTAGGGGTTAGGGTCTCTAGGGTCTCTGGATTTCGGATTTTGCGCCTCACAAGGTTTCGACATCGAGTGGCTGAAGGGGTGAAACTGTAGCTCGCAGCATGTAGCCCGTCCCTCCGTGAACCTCCTTACTGCCTTGAAAACTGAGTTCTCACGCGCCTCCACGAATCGCCGCGCTCTTGGTTTCACGGGGCCCCCCAGAACCCAAACCCATTCTTGAGCGTTCTGGTCTGGAAGCTATGTTGTACTGTAACTTCTTGCGTTAGCAACTGGAAGGGATGCAATTGCATATGGGGGCCATACTTTGGTGCCCATTATACTATATTTATAGTGAGTAACCCCAAAAATGGTATCGGTAATTATTATGGCCCCTATATTACGACCCCTTATCACTGTCGCTCCGATGCAGTTGCAGCCGACCGGCCGTAACTATATGGGGGCCTTAATAATTAGCACAAGGTTTTGGGGTATATTTCAATATGGAACCCCAAAATAGGATAGGTAAGCTACAGTAGACTAAACCTCAAAGCATGCGACCTGATGCGTCGAAAACCTGGCACGCAGCGAACCATAGACTCTACGTGCTTTCGAACACTTATCAAGACTTAACAAAGCATGTATCTAAGAATCTAACCTTGAAGATGTATGCGTGACATCAATCATCTTCGCATATGCATATCAAAATCATAGTTACATCTATGTGTATAGGCGTACATGCATATTTACAGCTATAGTTGTGCGTCTTTAACTGCCTTGTCCACTGAACTGGCTTCTTGGCTTTTTGCTTATCTTTTTCTCTCTTCACTTAATCCTGTATCTATTGATTTCCTTATCTGCGTATCTACTCATCTACTTATATACAGTTATGTGTATGTTGATCCTTGCGCATATATATATATATATATATATTCATAATCATAAATATATGTTTATGTCATACACAAATCTAGACACATGTGTATATTGAAGAACGCATTTACAGATAAAGCTGCAGATGTAGCATATATGCTTTTACTTACGTACTTATGTATTTGTTGATTTCAGTTCATAGATGGCATGGTTCCATCTGCTTCTACTTTGTTGTGCACGCTCGGAGCTCCTGGCTCTTCGAAGCCTGGTCCTGAAGCTCCGTTGCGGTGTCCTGCGAAAAGGGAGGCATGAGCATTCGGCTCACAGTAAGGCAACTGAGATGCGTGTGTGTGTGTGTGTACACGTGTGGGGGTTGTGTACATGTGGGGTCGGGGGGTGTATACCTGTGTGAATGCATGAAGGTAAATGTTAAGCAACGCATGTATGCATGCATGCATGCACGTATGCATGCAGGCACGCACGCACGCATACGTACATGTCTGTCATGGTTGGGGCTTGGAAGCACGGGTTGTGGCTGGTTTGAAGTTTGGGAAGCAAGAGAGGCTTCGGGAAGCTCGCAGCTGACCCCCCCCTCATACTATATTATACTACAGTATACTCCATGATAGTATATTATACTATAGTATATTATACTATAGTATATTATACTATAGTATAATACTCCATGATAGTATATTATACTATATTCCCCCCTTTGGCCTGCTTGCCGAAAGGTGTGATGCGGTTGGTGATCGGCTTTTCCTTGGGAGCCTCTGCATGGCCAAACGGAAGAAAAGCTCTGCTTCCAGAACTCTTCATGGCTGCAGGGCGGCAATGAAAACAAGTAACATACTGTTGATGGACAAAATCCTGCATGACCCTTAGGACTCTAAACTATGGGAATTATGGCATATTCCTTCTAATGGGTGATGCAGGATTTTGTCCATCAACAGTAGGGGCCTTAGTAGTTAGAACCGGGTTTTGGGGCTCATGTCGCTATAATTATAGACAGGAACCCCCCCCAAAAAAATAGTATAGGGTAATTATGAAGGCCCCTATATTACTAAACCCGAGAAACCGTAGGCTGAAGGAGACTCCCAGGATGCTAGAGGGTGTGGGTACAAGGAGGGACCCTTAATAAGGACCCCTAGGTATATACCCTTAATATAGCTAGTATATACTTATATACCCATTATATAGCCCATTGTAGGGTAGGGGTCCCCATTAAGGGTCCCTCTTTTCCAGCTTTGATAGAGGCTGTCGGCATCTTCAGGCATGGCCTCTTCTGGAGTACCACTGTGCCTGGGTCAATCCGGGCATGAAAGGCTTCAGAACTGCTTGGTTTAGGGTTTAGGCATGGGTTTACTTGGAGGGGCACGGGACTTAGAAGGTAGGTTATACGTAGAGTTCTAAGTACCCTAAATGGAGCTACCCCAATTATAACCCTACTTAAGTCCCCTGCCCCTCCAAGTAGGGTTTTGGCTTCAGGGTTTATAGAGTGGAGCAGGCGCCCTGCACACTGACAGTGCGGAATGAACAACTGTAAACCCTGAGCTGGTATCCGGTTGTGAGGATCCGGCTGGACAGCCTCTGTCACACATCCCAAAGCCTCAGTGCATTGAGATGCTGCTGGCAAACCACCTACGGCAGCACCTGTGGGGATGCTACAGTAGTGGGTTTAGGGTTTAGGGTGCTGACATGCTGCTGCCAGCCCACCCGTGGCGGATGCTACAGTGAGGATGGCTCCAGAACGGTTTTCCGCAGGGCCGCTCTGCGTCGGTCTTGCAAATGCGTCCCCTGAAACCGATGCGATAGAAGTACAGGGTGAATCAAATTAAACTGCTGATCATCCAAAAGACTCGTCAGGAACCACCGAGTGCAGACTCGATCGTGGAGTAATCAGACAAATAATCCTGAAACTCTTCAAAGCTCACTTCGCCATCGGAATTTGCATCGATAGCATCGCGGCAAATCTCGAACAACTCGTCGGACAGATTCCGATGTCCCTGCTGCTTCTCCAAAAGATCTTCTAGGAAGAGCCTGAGCTCGTCCATGTCCAGGTGGCCGCTGTCATCTTGGTCATAGCGCCTCCACATGTCCTTGAAGTCCTCGAGAGGCAGCCCTAAACCCTAGAGCTCAGAGCTCTAAAAGCCTACAGCAAACCCCTAAACCATAAATGTCACTAAACCCCCTAAAGCCCCTAAAGCCCCTAAACCCCCAAACCCCTGGAGCCCTAAAGAAGTCCTCATCTGAAAGGCTCTTGAGCTTGTACTGTCCCAGGAATTGCTCGCTGCTGAGGGACCGGGAGGCTGCACTCAAGTAGGTGGTGGATTGCATCTCCATGAGCCGGCTTACCTTTGGGGTGGAGGTTTAGGGCCTACATCTCCATGAGCCGTCTTGCCTCACTTGCCTTCGGGGTTTCAGGTTGAAGGTTCAGGCTCGCCGGTTTACCACGACCTCAGCTTTGGGCTTAAATTCCAACGAGTCCGGGTCAAGATAGCCCAAAACCGTAATTCCTTTACTGCCTCATACATGCGGACACAGGTGGCCGGACTGCGTGACTGGGCCTGACCTAGGGGCCTAACAATGATTAGAACAGGGTGTAGGGGCCGTGTTGGGGTGGATGACGGTATTGCGATACAACCATCTTCAGGAACACCAGTCGCTTGATACCTATACTGGTTGATTATCAGTTTTCCTACCCCGGGCCATCGCCTCACCCCCTTACCACGGTAGGCAAGCAGCCGTGCGATCCCAAGCGAAAATCTCATCTGCAATTGAAGTTTTTCGCTCCTCCTCAGAGACATAGAACAATGGGATCGGATCGAGCTCTGCTGTGCAGACCACTTTGGTATGACACTCATAAAGAGAGTCGATTAGGGTGATGAAGCGTCGAACTTGATCGCGCTCTTGCCTAGTCCATGGCTGGGATAATATTTGATATGATAACTTCTATTCGCTCTTGGGTTTAAGTAACCATAAACAGTGCAAAATGTTACCCAACCGTGACAAAGTTGCATGGTCAGTTTGGGGACGTTTGCCAAGAAGACCGTATGGAAAGCATGCCCGATGGCCAGATAGTCTGCTGCGCCTAGTGCCTCAGGGCTCTTCTTGTAACTTAAGTTACCATAATGGGGATCTAGAAGGGTTCCTTTAAGGGATCTATAAGGGCTTCTTTCAAGGATCTATATGGGTTCCTTTCAGGGATCCATAAGGGTCCCTTTAAGAGTAAAATGATTTAGGTTTAAGTTACCGTAATAGGGATCTATAGTAAACAAGAATGTTTCTTTATCATGGCACCTTAAATTACATCGCTTAACAAGAACCCAGGCCTTGTTGCACAGGTCGGAAAAGTCAAACCAGGCGACATCGGACATCTCCGCACAGCGGGGCACAAGGACCTTGCGCCCCTGGGCCTCCACCTGCGCGCCGGTACGGAACTTCCCTTGGCATATCCTGGGCTACTTGGAGGATCATGGGACTTAGTAAGTAGAGTTGTTATTACGGTAACTATACTTCTAATTGCTGATAACCCCAATTTAGGGTACCTATAACCATACTTCCTAAGTCCCATGATCCTCCAAGTACTGCCGAGGCTGAAGTCGGCTTTACGTTTGAATAGAGGGGCCTTTATAATTAGAATAGGGTTTTGGGTCCCATGATACTCTAAATATAATGAAAATCAGGAATGCCCAAAATAGTATCCCAACATTTTATAGGTAATTATTAAGCCCCATATATTACGGTATGTGGGTTTACGGATTCCAAGCAATTGTCTTCCAAACAGGGTCCAAAGATCTTGGCAAACTTATATTCCAAGATTTTCTGTTCGGCAGGTCCATTCGGTGTAATGTAAACTCTGTCATCCTCCCCATCGCGCGTGGAGGTCATCCGGTAGTCCACCTCTGCGCCGATGTCATGCACTTTGCAAAAGTCTTCAAGCATGGGTATAAAGGGCAAGAAAAGAGGGCGATTGAGACCGTTCAGGTACAAGTCCTGTGGAGGACGGTTGGAAGTTGCCACGACGACGGCCCCCAGCTCGAAGAGCACCGAGAAGATGCGCTTCATGATAATAGCATCGCTAATATGTGTCACCTGAAACTCGTCGAAGCAAAGGAGCCAGCCCTCCCTCATCATGTCCGTTGCCACCTGTTCCACCAAATCGTCGGCTGTGTTGTCCCTGTTCGCACTGCTGCCCTTCTGCTTCTTGTGCAATCTTGTGTGCACATCAATCATCCACTCGTGGAAGTGGATCCGCTTCTTCTCCTTGATATTGATCTTGTCGTAGAACATGTTCATCATGAAGGTCTTGCCAGTGCCGGTGCCTCCCCAAAGGTACAGGCCTCTCTGGCCGGGCGCGGGCTTAAGTGAGACCTCGACCTTCGGCGCAGCTGCTGGCTTGGCTGCTGGCTTGGCTTTTCCTCCGAAGAGGCCTCCGAAGAAGCCGCCACCACCGCCTGGGTGGTTGTCAAAATTATGGTCCCTTTTTGGGTCCTTAATACAACACGGCACCTAATACTTAGGGTACCCAATAAGGGCCCAAAATTTTTGACAACTACCCACCTGAGGAACTGGGCGCTGGCCCGGTGGGCTTGGCAGCTCGGGTCATCTTGGGGGAATAGCTCATCAAGTCCTTCGCCAGGTCGTCCAGCATCTTCATGCACACCTCCTGCCTTGGATCTTCCTGAATGTCGCCTGAAGCCTTTAGCTGCAGGTAGTTCTCCAGGCAACCACCAGGCATCGCGGAACTCCACCGCCTTTGGCCGACGGTGACGGTGGAGGTGGCAGCGTAGCCTGCTGCTGGCCAGCGCAGAGAAGGACCTCCATGGAAGGTTCTGAACGGGGTCAGGAAGTGCAGTCTCGCCAACGGCAGACCTGCGCCCCTCACGCTTTTCTGCGACAGAGCACAAGTCGATGATGGGCGCACACGCCGCATTGCGGCATGTCTCAGCATACCTCTAAACCCTCCCGCTTAAGCCCGAAGTGCTGCGCAGTCAGCCGTGGAACTTGGTGTGCGGAACCATGAAGACATTCGCAGTCACCCGACGGGTAGGCCTACCTGAAACGCACTCGACACCCCGTGGCCACCAATATTCAGGCACCGGCCAGCAAGACAGCTGCGAAGAAACGTGTTGATGCCATGTGCCTGGCAGGGGCCCATTGCGGGCAGAAGCGAAAGTTGAATGAAAGCTCTGGAAACACCCGCAAGACGAGCAACCTGCAAACACTGCATGGAGCCGCACGAAGGCAGCTGCAAACTGATGCTTCACAACCGAAGCCGTTGCGTTCAGCACAGCACTTGAGCGGACTGTTGGACTAGGTCGCTTAGAGTTTAGGGCCTAGGGGCTTGGAGCCCGAAGTTATTGGAGATGGATTCGGCACCTCATTGCAGCAGGGCTCGTGTCCAAACCTCGGCGGGCGCTTGCCCATCGGACGGTTTCGGGCAAGGTCTGGAGGGATTCTGTATCCCTGTTTCTGACAGATTAGGGTACATCTGCTTGGATCGGAACTGACACGTACCTGTACGCACCTTGGATTTCCTGAGTGTGTGGTTCGTTGACGTCAGGTTTGCCGGCTTGAGTTTGTGCCTTACAAGAACATGCTAACATGTCCTTGCCCGGGGTACCCCAGCCTCATTGAAACCCATCAAAATCAAAATCAAAAGCTGACTCCTAACCGGAAATCCTGAACTCGTCAGCTTCTGAACGAAATGGGTGTGAATGGTCTTATTCTCAAGATCCTGGTACCAAGATTACGCACGAAGCCGGGGCAGCCAACCGCGTTTAGGCAGTAAGCTTTAAGGCATGTATCCGTCACTATGGCTCCCCACTCACTTCTGCGGACCTTAAGGGTTTGGTGGTATAGTAGAATATACGTCTACCACGGAGCCGAGAGAAGAATGGTATATTCATTCTACAGGTGATTTCTTGGGACCCAGCGTCAGACTCAGTGAAGAGGACGCCGGAGGAGCGCGGATTCTTGAGCCAGCCCGGTTGCGCAGGTCGGCCGGAAGCACAGCTGCATCTATAGGTACACTGAAACTTGTACACTAATATGAGGGCCGTAATAATTCGAACAAGGTTTTGGGGCAGATTATACCATAAACAAATTGAAGAACCCCCAAACTAGTACTGGTAATCCGCCGAGGCCAGAGGCCCAGGCGTTTTGGTGGTTACCTCAGGTACCCTCCAGAAACGATTGGTGACACCCTGTTTTTGCGTTCGTTTGCCACCCCCTTGCCCGGCTTCCCCTCATTTTACCTGATTTGTCGGCCTCCCCCCCCCCTCCCAGGCCTCCCTTCCCTCATTTTTTTTCCTGATTTGTCGCCCTCCCCCCCCCCCTCCCCCCCCTCCCCCCCCTCCCCCCTGTGCCGATACACCCACAAGGAAATGCTCCTTGTTAGGAGGTGTATGACCAGTTTATTCCCTAAGGATCAAAGGGCAGCGCCCTGCACACGGACAGTAGTTGTTTTGTCTTGCTACGCAAGGAGAGCTTGTCTTGTCTCAATATGGTAAAACCACTGTGAGCCAATGGGCAGCGGAATGTATATGTATGAGCATGCAGCCATTGCTGTAGGTACCTGTTAGAGCTACCCCTTTAGAGGTTTACGGAATCAAACAGACACTAATTTTCTTTTACCGGAAGCATGGCCGCACATTCACACATATACTATTATGCCCACTGTCACAGTTGCGGAGTTTGGACTCATGATAAAAACAGCATATTGTTTATGCTAGGTATAGCACTGAAGTACACTGTTGAGGTCACTCCTTTTGCACACACTCATGCATGTTGGTCAGAGAGATCATCTGTACAAGATCAGGTCTGGAATGTTCTTCTACCGAATTATGCAGCCCTTCATTGTGCTCTTGTTAGAGCTTTGTGAGTCACTGTTGTGAAACTCTGAGAATTTTCTTATCTCAGATTCGGATCCAGGTTTGGATCATAGGCTCGAGCATAGACGTTCGGATGTGGTTCATCCGGGTCTGAGTGATCTTCTTCGGAACTTGAAAAGATTCCGAGTAATCTGTTCTCAGCCCTGGTGAAGGCGGCGTCTGCAGTGTCATATCCATGGTTGGATGTAGTCGCCTTTGGCTCGGCCTTTGGTGCAGCTTGTGAGCTGATTGGAGTTGCCTCGGCTTTAGCCGGTTGTGGCTGCTTAGCCTTTGCCCGTTCGGCCCTTCTTCTTTCAAGCTGTCCGTCTGAGGACGCCCATGATCTTTCACTTTCATCTCCTGAGGGAGATAAGGCGTGGGCATGAAGGCTGTTCCAGTACTGTGCTGCAGAAGGAGTTAGGACTTCTTCATGGTCAGATTCTGACTGGTCTTCCTCAGAGCTTTGGTCGTCGAAAAGTGTCTCAAGGACATTTTTGAGGTTTTTATGTCTTCGCTCTATCTCTAGTGAGGAATGGACCAATTGATTGAAGACTGTTTTTGAGTCCTTCAGTGCTGTTAGAAGGATTTCCACTCTGGATAGAGTATCTTGGATGGTGTCAAGATGATCCTTTCTTTCCTCCTTGTCTCTCTGGATAGAGTTTCGCAATGATTGTGCGATTCTGAGGAGGTCGAGATATTTCTCAATAGGCATAGTTACCGTATGATTGTCATGTATGACAGTTGTTTCGTCGCTGCTCAAGTTCCTGAATAGGACTTCCACGACTGGTAGAAACTCCGTGCTCCACGGTTCCTCTTCATCATATGTTTCTACATGCTGTTGCACGCGTTGCGTAAACTGCTCGGCTGCTTCTACCGTTGCATCGATAGAGCTGACGTGTCTTACTGCCATGTTTCGGCACATAGTGTTAATGGCCTGGCCTTGATTGGCTTCGCCAAGTGCAGCGTCTGCATGGTTGCAGAGTCCACTGTTATGGGCTTCTCTAGCTGCTTTTCGTTGAATGCGCCGATTTTGACCTCCTCTTCTGGTAGGACCTTTTGGTCTCGGAGGATCTGAAGGTACTGTTCCTTTCGCCTTTGGCGGAGGAGACTTAGGTGGAGGTGACATGTTTGCCTTGTTAGGCACTGGTGGCATTGCCTTGGGCACTGACGACGATGAGGCACTTGCGAGTGCAGATGTACCTCTGGCTCTTGCCGAGGATCCCTTAGGGATTGATGTATAGGTAATCTGCATGGCTTCTTCGGCCATTTGTGAATGCAATGCATCACTGAATAATTGCCTCATATGAGGAGTAGTACTTGCATCGTCATAGGTTTGAAACCGTTCAATGTCCCTTTCGGTGCCACGTGATCGTGTATCACCTCTTTGAAAAGGATCGTTCCTGCGAATCTCCGCAACTTGTACTGCCTGGAGGCAGGTTTTACACAGCACCTTCCTTGAAACATCTTTTGCTTGCTTGAGCTGGTAACAGCTGTCTGAAAGATGGTAGACTTCGCTTCGGGAAGTGTGCCACACAGGTCGCAAATCCGTTGTTTCTCCAGAATTGACCCTGTTGGGTCCTAAAGGTTCACGCGTCTGTGGTTCATCCTCGGGTTCGAGGAATGGTGGTGGTCGTTTCGCTGCTGCTTTTGCATTTGATTGCTGGCGGTCCATACATCTGATGGGAGCCCTGGTGAACTGCTTCCACATCCAGTGTAGGCCCATTAGCAGCAGAAACACATTCCACGCGATGCTGAAGACGGAGAAGTCTTGCTCACTGGTTAGTGAGTTGGGAAGTGAAGGTTCATCAGTCTTGATAGACTCTGCGTTCGCTCCACCGTGGTTACGGTGTCCGAACCAGCCCGACAACCCCGCTGCTGTGGCAGCTGTTCTGAGTGCCTTGCCGCTCGGAGCAGACGGTGGGCGTGATGCCTTCCTTCTTCTCCTCCGGCTGGAGGATTCGTCCTCTTGTTCCTCTTCATCTCTCTGAGCAGACATCAAGTTTGATGTTTCTCTTTCGTGTTCTTCGATGTCACTTTTTGTTGGTGACGGTTCTTCTTCTAGTCCATCCAGCTCTTCCAAAGACATGTTGAGCTTGTCAACAATATTGGTTCTTTGAGGTCTGGATCTCGATCTTGGTAGATCTTGTTGTGAAGAGGACGATGATGCCTGGCTCCTTCTTGGAGGAGAGCCTTCAGGCTCGCTGGGACGTTCAGGCCGTGGCCTTTCCCAGAATCTTCCATATCTGTGATAGCTACCTTGTGGTTGCTGTTTGTCGTACCAGCTGTTGCCGGATGAATACACAAATGAGTCTTTGTAATCCCAGTATTCAGCATTACGCTGCTTGTAAGCCTGTCGCTTGTTAGCGATCTTCTGAACCTGGGCATCTGACCGGTTGTGTTTCCCTTTTGTAAGGATTGGTTGTATCGTGAAGCCCAAAGGGCTGTGCCAATCTTTGTCAGAGGGGCTCAACCATAGGTCAAGGTTAGAAAAAGTTGAATAGTACTGCTTGACTGAGACAAACAGACGGATATCGATATCCCTGTTTTGTTCATGTCCTGCCACATATCTGAGATTCGTTCCCAGTATGTTCTTTCGGCGGCAGGTGTAGCATCTCTTGGACTAGGTGACGCCGTGTGCGGCGTTTTGCTCCAGTCAAGGATATAACTGTTGATACAGTCGAGGTCAGCAACTTTCTTCGCCGGTTCCGGCGGTAGACGATCTGCACGTGCCAGTCTGTGCTGGTCAGAGTTGTTCAAGCAAAGGTGTCGCACTTGTGAGTGCCTTCCTGCTATTCTGTTGAATGCTGCAAGTTTCTTCTCCAGGTATAGAGAAAACAAACCGTTTCGCGGGTGAACGTCTCCACCTTTTAAGGTGAGCCTCGACGCAATATTATTGAGATCCCCCGCAATTACATCCGGTTTGAAAGGGAGAACCTCGTTGAGGAACGCGTTCACCAGTTCGCGCCTCTGTTCTTCCTTATGAGTCATGTATGAGTTGAAATGGACGATCGCGATGGTGATGACCTTGTAAGGCCCTTTTGTACACCACATCTCGTCAAGATCGTTTGATGCTTCTTGT